TGTGTGTGTGTGTGTGTGTGTGTGTGTGTGTGTGTGTGTGTGTGTGTCTGTGTGTGTGTGTGTGTGTGTGTGTCTGTGTGTGTGTGTCTGTGTCTGTCCTTCTCATATCTCCACAACCGTTCCTCCCATCTACTTCACACTTGGCGTGTAAATCACTGAGGACCCAAGGATGAGCAGTGTGGAAGTTGGTGCAACTTGGTGCAATATTAATAATAATCGTTTGTTGGATAGACAAGCGATAGCGCTCTGTGCAGCATGCGGGGGGGGGGGGGGGGGGGGAGAGCTTCAGCTCTGTGGACTGAGTCACCTTTACAGGCAACAGCTGATTGACTGCAGTTCACTTATCCTGCAGGATGCTGGATGTACTAACGTCCGGACTACCACCAAATGGGCACTCATGCACTCATGTTATGCAAAACAAGAAAAACAGACTGATTGAACTCCCCTGAAGTAGGAAACCCAGGAGTCATGAAATTTTAATAACTGTGAAATCCCCAGAGAGGAACAAACAGATTGAGTAACTTATTGCATGTTCAGTATGTAAAGAGGACAGATGTGTGAAGCGTGCTGTTCTCTCCTCAGCGCTGCTGCAGCGCTCAGTAACGAGGTGAATACTAATTGATTTACTTTTAATTATCCCCCCGTCTTTTTTTCTTCTTCTTTCAATTAAAAAGCTCTGCGGCCCGTCATTACACTGTAATGAGCGTGTCATCTTGTCAACGCCGCAATGGACCCACAATGCAACTCTGCAGAACAAAGCATGCTGTGTGTGCGTGTGTGTGTGTGTGTTGTTACAAGGCCCTACGAGATCAAGATATGACAGCGATACGCTTAAGAGGACCTGCTTACACAATATGGCCGCTCACTGCCGACATACACATTGATACACAGATATGAACACACACACACACACAAACAAATACGTGTTCACACTCAAATCACAGACACACAAAGATACACTTACAAATATTTCATGTCCACACGCACATTCTGCTTTTCTCTTGTTTTTTCCCCTCACTTTCTCTTTATCAATCTCTGCTCTCTCTCTCTCTTTCTCTCTCTCTCTCCTTCTCTCTCTCTCTCTCTCTCTCGCTCTCTTCCTTTCTCTCTCTCTCTCTCTCTCTCTCTCTCTCTCTCTC